GGTCAGGTCAACGAATCGTCGCTACCGAACCAGGGGCGGCACACGGCGAAAAATTTAGTCTGTGTAACCAAAATGCTTAAAAAACAAATTAGAGGGGACCTTACCTTTGTCATTGACTCCAATTTTTAAGGTCAAATCAAGGCCAATTTATAAATTTCAAATTGAAATCCTTACTTTTTATTTTATAAATTGATACTTATGTCCTTATGCTTTAGGTCAAATCAAGGTCAAATTAAAAAGTCAGTATGGATAAAGCATCAAAGATCCTTACAAGTTATTTGAAATTCAAAATTTTTGGCTTTTTTTGATAATTAGCCGAATAAATCTACTTTTTGGTGCTTTATTGATGTTGTTTGGCGCTTTAGTGATGATTGATATCTGGTGCTTTATTGTTATTTGTGGCTTTACTAATAGGTTTCAAAATTTTTAATTTGACTGATTTGACAAAGAACATAAAGTCAAGGTCAATAAAGGTCAATAGTTCACCATTAAAATTGTAATGAAAAGTGCTACTGATATTCCGTGCAACATTTTCCTCTACAGTTAAAATCCCGTCGAGTTATTGAGGAAAAACAAATTCGACCTTGAAACGACCTTCAAGGATATCCAAGATAAAAATATTTGATTCCACATTCGGACGTAAAATTTTACGCCCTATCGATTTATAAAATATGAAATAGAGGTTTCTATTTGAAAGTTTTAAGATGACCTTGATTCGACCTAATAAATTGGAGCCAAGGTCAAATACAAGGTCACCGCTGAATTGGTTGCACGAACTTGTTTTATTAATTTGTGACTGAAAATAATCAAGACTAGTTGAAATGTAACAAGGGTTTGTTAAAATTTCTAATTTAATTGCATTTTAGTACCTACGTCATCATATATTGTGTACCTCCTTTTTCGCATAAAACAATCAAAAACAAAAAAAATGTCGAAGTACGTGTTTATTATTTTTTATCAAGCTTTTGATAAATAGAATTAAAAAATATATGACCCTTTTACGCTATGCCCAAGTACGTCTCTGAAAATGTAGATTTGAATTCGATTTGCGGTAGCGATAATGTCACAAAATGTGAATAAACTCTGTTATTGATGATGCGGTATTCTTATTTCATTCGCAAAATCCTTTACGGATTACATAGCATTGTTTATTGTTAGATTTAAGGCAATCTAATAACCAATAATAATCCTTTCTTCTACATAAAAATATCACCAATATATACACCACGTTGCTTCTCGTTCGATGAGGCTATCGTAACTTTTTTTATAAATTATTATACCAATTACTAAATACCACAGATTGATTTGCCTGAAGTTTAACATTGCGTAACAAAAATCATTTTTATGGATTGCGTACAAAAACTCTTGAGGTTTTAGAATGGTGCTTTTGAGGTTAGTCATGGATTTTTATTAAATAAGCCGTATGCTCAGGCCCGGGTTTAGGAGGGGGGCTCCGGGGGCTATAGCCTCGGGCCTCGACAAAAAAATATTTGCGCTGTCGCGGGAGGGGAAAATTTTAGATGTAGCATATTCTTTTTACATAGTATGAGTAACACCATTATCTTAACCTTCAGTAGAAAATTACTGTGTGTACCCATCATTATTATAACTGGGTAATATGAATAAATTAACATTTAAGGTTCATATATATTTTTTTATATAAAGAATTGGTATGCGATGTTAATAATCGTTTGATTTCAAAACCTTTTTGTTGTTATTTAAATACATGCATACTATTACATTATTACTTGTCTCTGGCGTGGGGTGAACACCTGACCCGATATTGTAAATGCAAAAGTGTTATATTAGAGAAATAAATTGCGACAGTCAGTTTTTAAATTGACGGTGGCCCTAATTCATCATTTCTATAGTTTAACCTATCCAGAAACAGATCGACGACGCCTGGGTGGTTACTCGACGGCAAAGCCATTAGTCTCACAACTTCGCCCGTCTGTAATTTCACGAGTCGCCCCTGCTATGTTACCAAAGCAATGACACCGAGTCGCGGTAGGCGAAATGTTACCGGTTTCGCCTACAGATGGTAAATTTGGGCATATTTTTTGCGGGAAAACAAGGATATCTTCGCAACGTCACATTATTTTTAGTATTAAAATTATCGCTAGCAGCCACGTAACGAAGGGGGGGTAAGGGGGACGGTATGGACCTGAAAGACCAAACCAAATAAATTACTGCTATTTTGAGTAAACTCTCCAGTATTATATTAGATTTTAATAACAAAATACATACAAATTTCTCTAATCAGCAGGGAAATAATTTGAAATATGTTAGGATACTTTCAAAATATGTCAGTAACTATAAAATGCATTGTAATAGAATTAGAAATGTACTGAACACTTCTAAAACCGTGAAATACTTCAATACCCAATGAATATGTCGAAAAAACAACATATAAAATTCTAATTATTTGGAATTTGTTGAAATCCTCACGAAAGCTCCCAAATATGTTCGCCGTAATTCCTTAAAAAACGCAGATCAACATACAGGGAAGGAAATACTTCGGCATACTCCGATATATTTCGAAAACTTAAAAAATACTTTGAAATACATAGAAAAACCCGGAAATATCTCGAAAAATTTGGAAGTATTTCAAAAACCTTCAAATTCGTCGAGATATCTACAAAAGTCAAAGGTCGGATCATTGCGAGAGGTCAAAGGTTAGTATCCGGAGGTCAGTGATTGGATATTGCGATAGGTCAAAGGTCAATACTTTGAAAAAAACCTATAAACACTTCGAAAACTTTTATAGTTGTCGAAATAAGGTAAAAATGTCAATGTTAGAAGTGTAAGTTCAATCGAAAGATTAAAAGTCGATCGGACCGGGGGCTACAAGCTCTACGCAGGCCCTCTTTCTTAAAAAAAAAAAAAAAAATCGGTAACTTGTCAATATAAAATTTAAAAAAAACATAAACACTATTTTGGTTTGGTTTGATTCTAAAAAAAGCTAAAATTCATTTTACCAGATCTTGCCGAGGCCCGGGGCTGCAACCCCCATAGCCCCCCCCCTTAGTCCGGCTCTGAAGATCGATGACAAAATAGCAACATAAAGGTCAATGATCTTTGGCCTTTTCGGTCATTGACCTTTTATTCCTCCATACCTTTAACTTTGACCTTTGGCTTAAATTGGGCGTTTTAAGAATTTTATGCAAGTATTTTACAGCTGTTTTTTTTTCTGAAGCTGATTTGACGAATTTTGTATTTTGAAAGAATTTTTTTAATTTTCGGGATATTTCGACGCATTTAGTAGTTTTATATATTCTCCTCCTGTCCTGGCTGAGATCTGCCAGCTGAGACCCGCTGCCGCCGTGTTAAAGTATTTCAAAGTTTGAAGGTATGTGTTTTCAAGTAATATATTTTCGGAAAATTGGCCTGAAATTGATATCAATTTTTCCGTGTAGGTACAGATGTGTTATTGTAAATTCATGTTTATTTTACAGAAAATCCCTTTTATTTTGTTATTGTACTATTCGTAGTAGTATTATTAATACATTTATCGTGAAGATAAATTGTGAAGTGTGTGAAAGAGGTTTTATTATAATGCAAATATTACTTAGACAAGAACGAAGAGTTTGACCCTAGTTGAAAAATCGACGGCTACGGCATTGCGTCGGCAATTGATTTTCGTAATATTTATAATAATTTTTTGTGAAATAAAATCGATAACGAGCATGTTCCATTCAGAAAGCTTCGCTCTTTCAAACAAAAAAAAATGCTAAACCCGTTTAATTCTTCCCAGGATATTAATTAAGAATACATCTCGCCGTTCCGATAGCTGTTAAGTCACTTGGTATATAAAGATAACAGTACATTTATTTCTAGACACATTAATATACATTCTGTTGGTATCGATGCAGTTATAAAAATAAATGCGTTATCCTACAGCAATGCTAAATGAAGCAACTTATGTAATCAATTCAATTAGGTTGTACCGTCTCTTATAATCACGGAAAGGGATTTGACCTAATCCTTACAATGGCGTACTATGAGGAGAAATATGCACATATGGACTAAAAAATTTCAAAGTCTAAACACTTTTTGGCTAAAAAAGCTAAAATTCATTTTGCCAGATTTTACCGCCCACTCGATCTCGTGAGGCTCAGGGCTACAGCCCCCGTAGCCCTCGGCACAGAAAAATGCGACCAAATAATTTTTTGTTAGTATTTTCTGGGGTATGGATGTTGCCAGCCATCTGGCGGGTGAACGCCCTATATAGTGATTGCGTTTACCACAAAGCGTATCTCTTGATTAGCGAAATAGTGAAAGTTTATGAAGCGGGAATATTAAAATATTTAAATTCGCAGTGTTCATGTTTCATCGGTTTCATAAGTGAAATTTTAACAAAAAGCAATGTTGGTATAACAACTAAGTTCCTTGGGCCTATTAATTGATTCGAAAAGGCCAGGAACTTCCTTAGCAAATTTATTTTAAGCGCTATTTCAGAAAAATGAAGGATTAGTAAAATATTGGTGTCTAGGAATACTTTTTTCGACAGACGGTTGTTATGTGTAATTATAAACATCATTAAATTAAAAATGCATAATTATTAACACTTACGTAAGAGGGAACTTTAAAATTTTTGGCATCCAAGCGTTAACTAGGACTAGAAATTTCAGTGTAACTTTTTCCATTTGATGTTACCGCGAAGAGAAATTTTAAAACAATAATGGGAGGCCTCTGCAATCTATTAACACCGTACAAGGTTTTTTCGCGGAGATATTTAACAAAAATATCTAATGCAATCTCGTCGACTTTCGCCTGTAAAAATCACTGAATATAACAAGTGAAGGTTATCGGTGACACTTTTATATCGCGCTTTGTTACTGGTTCGTGTATGTTTTATTTCCTTTTATGTAGTTTTCAAATAATTCCTACAAAAGAATTGCATTTGCGGCACAACCCTTTCTCCAGTACCGTGACGTACAGGTTAGTTTTTATAATATCGAAATACATCCATAAACAAGATATGTGCACAACATACTGACCTTTACTGTTCATATTGTTCAATGTTTCGATCTGGCATTGGATTTTTTCACTTTCATTGCTGCAGTCGGCATTTTCCACAATAACAACTGGTGTAGTTTTAGTTAAAGGTCTACAACAGAATTAATGTAAGGTCCTACATCCAAAATAAATTTAAATGCATTACCTGTTGAAGCCAATTTCCGAGCCTGCTTCTTCCTCAACCTCACCGATTGTAGCCAGTTGAGACGAAAGGCTCCATTTCGAACTGTAGATGTCAATTCCATTGGCGTACGTGTCTACATTATCGTTTTCGTCAGTTTCATAGTCACTGTAGGTCGATTTGTACCTCTCGTTTTCTAGGAATAATTTCATTATCTCTGTGGAGTTCTCGATGTTCTCTTTTAAGCCGTTGGATGATGATTTCGGGACAAAATCGACGAGCCTGGGTAAATCGGTATTCTTAGCTTCTTTTGGAGTTTCGGTGTTCTTCACCGAATCCCTCGCACGTGGAGGAACTGGTGGTTTCTTCACTGGGGGCTTGCTTTCTTCCGGTTGTTCACTTGGTGGTTCATCTACCTCATCAGGGACAATTATCTTTGTACTTTCATTGCCATAACTCAACGGCGCGTCTTGGAAACAAGAAGGGCTGCCTTCCTCGACCGGATTCACGATAATGTTATTATTTTCTTCCTTACTTTGTACTAGTGATTTCACCGAAGGTTTGTTTGTGGTGGTGGAGTCTTCGTCGTCGTAAATGGTGATGTTGGATATGTCCAATTGCCTTTGTATCGACGTGGGAGTTGATGGTAAGCTCCCGGAGAAGCTTGAAGTGGTCGTCGTGGGGAATGAACCAAAACGATCTATAACTGTGGAAATCGTACTGCCAGTGTCGTCGGATTCGCTTAAGCTTTGCGTGGATTCTTGTAAGAATAAATCTACATACACCTCTGCATCGGGTGGTCCCAAACTGCCGTCAGAAAACCTTCTGTCTCGTCTTGGTACGTTAGGAGAATAATAAGATTTGATGCTGCTACGAGGCGATTGAAGCTTTTTCGATTTAATGTTAGTTGCTGCAGGTGGGGTGGAATTGTCTTGTGGGTTTTCTGGTATCTCTTTAGGGGGGACTGGGTTTGCATTTTTTAGTAGTTTCCTGGGAATTTTTCTTGGCGGCACAGGCGGGGGTGCTGGGGGAGTTCTTTTTTCCTCCGTACCGATAATTTGAGGTGGTTCGTCTTCACACTTCATTTTTGGTTTGTGGTTATCATACCTATGGCGGACTAAGAGTTTGATAGCTACGTTGGAATCCTTAAGACAACGGACACAGTCGATCCTCGTCATGGTATTCACTGGTATGGAATCGATTTCTAGTACTTCGTCCCCTTCGGTTAGTTTGCCCCAGGAACTTTTCACGCGTGACGCCGGACTATCCGCCGCACAAGACTGTATAAACAAACGTTTGACAAATTCATTCGCTTTAGTGCCTCCCTCGAACTTAAGTCCAAAACCCAGCCTCTCGCCAGGCAGTCTGTATACTAGCACCTCCTCCGTCACGTCCTTAAGGACTTTGTTGTTGTTTTCGGTATCCCCTATTGTCAGGACCGTGACGTATCCTGGACCGTTCGATTCAAAGTTGATATTTTCGCTGTCCGGTTCCTGTTGCTCTGCCCCCACCGCCAGCACTGTCACGAAGTTGTCGTTTTCTTCCTTCTCCGACATGTTCAGTTTTTATAACCCTCCAGTATCGAATATCTAAAATAACACACTTATTAAATTTGATACGTAAGAAGTCAACTGTGAAGAATACACGGAAAAGTGGGTTTGGCAATAACTATTTATTTCCTGTGACGCCGCGTGAAGAAATCTCGACGTTAAATGAAATTCTAATCGACGAGAGAAAATGGCAAGCTCATTTTCATTACAACAATAAATATTTGTGCGCGAGATGAGAAGAGGGCGGTGTGGCATTCGTATGGATATGCACCTGTAACAATTATAATATCGTGGCCTCTTTAGCGGCATTCTACTACACTACTACCTAAGACAACTCGCAGATGAACTACATTTTATGGTATAGGCAAATTACCCAGATATTGTTTTGTTTCATACTTGGTTGAACGTAGCTTTACCCTACTTTAAAGCAAAATGCGGATATTTAAAATATTTTCTCGTTATTGTAAAGGAATGTCGGGGAAATAAACCAAAACAAATCAATGTAGGGCAGTTACATGTGAATAGTTTACGTGTAACGAGAAATAAGGGCAGCTAGTGAATATTTTACCGAGACAACTTCGACCTATGACATAAATATAAAAGGAATTTAGAATGTAAATTTTTTCGCATGTCACATCAAGAGCGTTCTAAAGCAAAACGGCTCAGTTTCAAAAGTCACACGCGGCGTAAATTTCATTAGAACGCGGTTGAAAAACGCTGTAAAATAAATTTGTTTAAAATAAAATGTAGTTCAGCGAGAAACAAGAGGCCACGGTTATTTTAACGGTATATCCGCTAACAAAATGCAGTGCAATTAGAACGGCCTCCGGTTGGTTTTCGGGACTCGGTTACACACAAATATAATTCACGGGGTGTTACGGTGGTTGGGCTTACCTTTAAAATTCCCGGGCACATTTTCCAGGGCGTATGGTCGTTTGGAACATGGGACACTCACACAGAGATAGTAAACAACTGTTTTCACCTCTCTGAGACCCACTTGGAGAATATGACCTCGTACAATCTCGCATGTCCTCGCGCCGAGTGGCATTCATATCTTGCAGAGCGGGCCATAATATTTTGACCCATCCCGCGAAATGTCACGTGCAATTTTTCGATTTTGGACGCGGTTGTGGCACGGACTTTGCGCGCTTGTGGTATTTCGCGTCTCAAAAACGCCCGAAACAGGCAAAAAAACGGTGGAAAATGTACAAATATTGGGGAAATTAATTTTAAACAAAAGTCGGGGATGTCGTCTCCCCATAACCTCCACTCCTCCATTTTCCAAAGACTCTGTCGTCAATTATAAATAATAACAGGTGTATTATACAAAATCAAATTTAAAAAGGAGTGTGGAGAGATCGCGTGGTGAATTTGTACAAAAAAAATTTCGCTTCTTCAAAAGCCTGACGCAAAGTATAGTTTTAGAAAAGATAATATTTTTATACGGGATGCATGGGCGTTTACAGTCAAATAAAACGTATTGCGATTTTTTTTTTTTTTTGTAAGAGGTCTCCAGAGAAGTAAAAATTGTAGCTACGCCCATGACGGGGGGGATGATCCAGTAAGAATGGCAAACGACCCCGCACAAACCTTATGGATTTCAGGTACCGGTAGAGTTTTCTGGTTTTTTGATATTTTGTATTTGACATCCTCCTGACCAAATGGAGCAAAATCCCCTAAAATAAAACATTTCTTGGCCCAATTAATTCCCATAATCCATCACACCTGAATATCTCGCAAGGGAAGCCAGCATGACTTTTACGAAAGTCGTTGGGTACCGGATGGTGACCTTCAAATGACCTTGAAGGTCAAACCTAATTTTTTTAATATGAACTTTTATTTTTGACCCCGGACACAGAAAGAGCGCAAAATTTTACGTTTGGACAGGTACTTAAGGCTCTTCTTCGTCAAGGTCAAATTGAAGGGCACCATCCGTTGTACCCCTCCGAACCCAACAACTTTTGGTTAAGGGTTATTTCCGGATTGGTGACTCCCCTGACGAAATATTCAGGTGCGTAATTTAAAATATTTTGTCCTTGAAATAACCTTTAAAGGTCGTTTCAAAGAAGAGCCTTAGGTACCATCCAAACGTAATTTTGCCCTCTTTCCGAATCCGGGGTCAAAAATAGAGGTTCCTATTTTAAAAAGTTAGATTTGACCTTTAAATGACCTTGAAGTTCAATGTCAAGGTCAGACTGAAGGTCACCAGAATTATTGGCTCTTTAAGAATCCGGGGTTTGTATTGCCATCAAAAAACAAGAGCTGACCTTCAAATAACCTTGAATATGAACTGCCCACAATGCTAATGGCAAAATTTCTCTTTAACTGTTATCACTAGCAAATATTTCCCTTTATTACAGGTAGACCCATCACACCTCGTATTACAGTGGTTAAAAAAAATTATACTAGATTGTTCATTTTATTTGTCACATAATAGAATATATACCTGAATTTTAAAATATTATTTAATTTAGGTTTGACAAAATAAAAATTGATTTCAGAGATTTTCAATCAAATTTGATGTTTTTTTAAATTTCAACACTCTGTATCTCAACCTTCGGTTTTGGTGAAGGAACAACCTGCTGAAACTATGATATAGATATAAAGACACCTTGTATAGCTTGATAAGCTTATTAAAAATGTATTGTGAAATTATTTGTTTAAATATTACAGCTTCAGTTGCTTTGTTTTAAATATTTTATGGGCATTATTATTAATATTATTTTTTTGTTACAGGTTATCTGGTCGAGATAAGGTAAGCGGATATTTATAATTTATTGCACTGTATAAATGGTTTCATCGATAATAATTATTAGCAGATAGAGGGCGTCGTTTTATTATAATTATTATAGGACAGGCGTTTTACTAAACTTAAGTTGCTTAGGCCAAATGTTTCGTCTCTTTTTCATTTTTGATTTAATTTTCCCAGCGTTGACACTTAAGTTATCATTGTTAGTTGGCTAAAATATGAACGAATATACCTATGCACTGAAATTTAACATGCTTTCTATGCAAAGGCCTTGTATTTAAAGCTTTTCGCGTCATATTTATCAAAACACTAATAATACACATTTTTCGATTGAAAACTATTTTCCCGGTTTGTTTGCTACGATCAAATAGGCCAGGGCGCAGCTGTCGAAATATCTCACTTCTTTTACTAAAATTAGAATGCCCTCCGAGCAATTAAAATATTAAAAAAAAAATTTTTAGTGGTATCTAATTTACATACAAGGTAATTTAATTATGATTTACAGCGTTATTCAGAAAATTTCTTAACGTAGGTATATAGCTTCCGACCCAAATATTTTACCAATTATAAATTTCCAACCAGACATGAAAAACAAAAATATTACATAACTGTAAATCGTTATATAGGTATAATCCTGTTGCTTTAGAGGATTTGCATAAATTAAAATTATGTGATACCCAGTAATCAATCCGCTATATTCACCAGATAAAAGTTACCTGTAAAATCTGATACCTTCGAAACTGGTTTTTTCTGCACAACTCAATGAATGATAAAATGAATGATGCCGAGACTTCAGGATTGATGAAGGTGCTGTTTGGATTCTGTAGAATCTCTAAAGAGAAGAAAGTTCACATAACTTAGAGCTAATCAATGAAATTAATTATTTTCTTATAAAATCCAGTGGAATCTTGTATAAAATTTCAATATGTTCATGTTAAAACTAAACAATGTATGCGAATATTTAATATGACTTTCTTAAATGGAGTTTAAATTGCTATCTGGTGAAACAAACCTACTGTGTCGGTGTTTGCATATTTTTGTTGTCGGGTTTCTCATAATTTGAATATTTTATATTACAGCAACATTGATATAAACAATTTCGAAGCTATGTTCGTAATTTTTTTATTTCTCGACCTAGAAAAGTGCGGTGGAATCTTCGGACGAATTGCCATAGTTTTTCGATATTTTCAACGGTTAAAAAGATATGGACGGGCTTTGTTTTTTTGTTTCTTCTTCAATTAATTGTTTAATTTAAGTTTTCTTTATATGATCAGTGCAGCAATTTTGGATTTGGCGACAATCCCGTATTTTTATCGTCAGAGGTCTATAAAAGAATAAAATGAATTGATTTTTGGTACCTGCACTGCCATCTGTGATCGGGCAACTAAGATTGTTATTGTAGAATTCGTTGAAGAGTGAACCCAAACAAAGCTGAATCACAGACAATACAGGGTGTCTCATAATTAGCTGCCAACCCTGAACAGGCCGATTCTATGATCAAAACTAAGTAAAAAAGTTCATATGAACATGGGTCCGGAAATGCTTCCTAAGGGCACAGGGACCCATTGAAGTGGGAGGAATGGAAATCATTTTTTTGCAATATCTCTCAATCGCGTTGTGATAAATGAATGAAATTTGGTATACACAGCTAAATTTTGATGAGTAATTTGATGGACTAATCCATTTATTTCCACAAGGTTCATTGGGGTGGGTACGGGGGGCCCTTGATACTTTGCGTGTGTAACTTTTTCATCTTTGACTTTTTAACAAATTGGACAGCAAATTCCGTTTTCCCGAACTGTTTTACGTTAAAACGGTACTCTTGTTTCAAATCGTTATCTTTAACGGTTTCTGAGAAAATCGCTCTTGAATTAATCCCACTTTGGTCAATTTCATTGTAATTTAAACAAAAAAAATTTTTTTTGTTTAAATTACTATGGAATTGACCAAAGTGGGATTAATTCAAGAGCGATTTTCTCAGAAACCGTTAAAGATAACGATTTGAAACAAGAGTACCGTTTTAACGTAAAACAGTTCGGGAAAACGGAATTTGCTGTCTAATTTGTTAAAAAGTTAAAGATGAAAAAGTTACACACGCAAAGTACCAAGGGCCCCCCCGTACCCACCCCAATGGACCTTGTGGAAATAAATGGATTAGTCCATCAAATTGTTCATCAAAATTTATCTGTGTATACCAAATTTCATTCATTTATCACAACGCGATTGAGAGATATTGCAAAAAAATGATTTCCATTCCTCCCTCTTCAATGGGTCCCTGTGCCCTTAGGAAGCATTTCCGGACCCATGTTCATATGAACTTTTTTACTTAGTTTTGATCATAGAATCGGCCTGTTCAGGGTTGGCAGCTAATTATGAGACGCCCTGTATAGCTTATCGCTGTGTTTGATTATGTATCAAAAAAGTAGGTAATTTAAAAATTAACAAACGTTTAAATCGTAATCTCGGCATATACTAATTGGTTCCTCGTATATTTTCAGACAATTGCATGTTTAATTCATGTCTTAACGAGTTCTTGGTTTATATTTCCTAGTTTTTCATAACAAAAACGCTAGAATAAATGTTTCTGTTAATTCAATTCAATTCAATTGAATCCTTCGATTAAAGATGGCAGGGGTTTTGTAAGAGCCGCCATCTAGTAGGTTTCTACCTGAGTTTGGCTGGTTGCCTAACTATGTTGCATAAGGAAGTGCATCAGTTGTGTAGCAATTGCTCTACTGAGCATCAGATGGCGCGACGATATTTCGTGGCACGGCATCTAAAACTTGTATAATTTTTTATCTGGAGAGAAAAGCTTGCAAAGGACAGTAGAAAAGATAAAGTGATTAAAAGGCTTGGAAATGTAGAAAGAAAGGTGGAGGATCATGTGGAAAATTGGCAAAGGAAGAATGTTTGTTCGTAGTACGAACATAGTGGTGCCTACTGCCTAGAAGTTTAAGGGGACCCATTTAATCGGACAAGACAATAACGAGTCATTATTGAATGAAAACTTTTTAGATCTTTGTCTTCCCCGCAAACCGCTATTATTGTAACTGTGTCGTGGCTTCCTTTGTTCCGCTTTTTCGAGAAATCCCCTCTATATTCCCCGATACGTAATGCGAAGTTAAGCAGCAATTCTGTAGGTCTGTATTACCATTTTTTTATTCCCAGCGATTATGAAACTGGGAATGTCATATACAAACTCGGTATTAATTTATTTTTAATATCGTTCTCGA